GGCGACCGTGTCTCTTCCCAGGACTTCAATTCAAACACAACTAGTGTGCACTCACCAAAATATGTTTCAGGGGTAATGGATTCTGTCTGGGTTTTTTCTTCATCAAACACATTCGCCGCCAACGTGTTTCTTCAAGCTGAGGCTGGTTAATGTTGCACAGTAAAAGCAACTGAAGTCACAGTTATTGTGAATGACTAATCACTCATAACATTTAGAAATAAGTGGGTAACAACCTGCCAATTCTGAAACAGAGCTTAATGTTGGAGTAAAAACGTGTGAACTGGCACCGAACTGCAGAGTCCGCAGAGCTTCAACCGAAATGATAAAAGTAAAGCAAATCATCAAACATTCAGCTGAAAAACATTAGTTTGGAAAGGCTTGTAGTTTACTTTAATCACTTTGTAATAGTGTTTTATTGGAATAAAAACGCCACCTAGCAAAAGCTCCTCAGCGGTGGGTCATAGGAAGATAAAGAAGATGATGCTCCAGATATTTAAACTTTTGCGTGTTCAAAAATGCTAAAAAAAACGAGAGAGAGGAGCAGAAAGGAAATCAATACTTTGCAGGAGGCATGTTTCTAGCTGTGTGTGATCGGCCAATAAGCGGATCAATGGAAATTGTTGTACGCTGACTGCAGTTCAGTGAAGGGCCAATGGTGGCGCTGTTACTACAGTTTAATCAGAGAGAGTTACATATAGAAGCTTGAATACGTCAGATAAAACATACCATTAAATTAATAAAACTTGTAAAGGAAATCAGATGTTAGGTTTTTCTGTAGCTCTGCTCAATAATAATAATGATAATAATAATGATAATAATAATAATAATTAGTGTTCTTCCACATATTCAATGACCATGATGATTATTGTTTGATATCCAGGTCCCACACGCTGATTTCTTAAACTGTGTGTTTTGCCTTCGCTCGGCTGAAATCGTCTTCATCAGTCACCTCTGAATCTGTTCAATATTCTGCATTATTAATGTTCAGAGTTCAGCAGGTTCGTGCAGTCTACAGCCACCGAGTTCACACCCGACACACTCACTAACACAGACAGTACATACAGTCACACATACTGAGGGCATTTCCAGAAGACTGGGTCTGTGTTATCAGGATCAAACTATTATTATAAGAAACATTTAAACGCTGATTTTCACACTCAGCTCATTCTGTGACTTTATGTTCACAGTGTGGGTTATAAACTGATAGTGTACTGCGTGTGTCTTAAGACAAAATTCAATTATTCCAACATTATCGCTCTATATAAAGCATCTTTGTGAACTGGTGACATATAATTGTACCTCTCACACCGGAGCAGCAGTCTCCTGACACTTTATACTGCTATTTTAATTACTAACATCGTGCTTTAATGTAGTTTCTGTACATTTTATCTCATTATATAGCAGGCAACAACAAACAAAGGCTCTCGGCTCTCTGCACACATTTGCAGGAGCGTTTGCTATTATTTTGCACCAAACTTAATCCAATTTTTTAAACTATATGTGTTTTTATTGTAATTGTATGAGAAGGGGTAGATTGAGGCTGTTTCAGCCCTCCAAACCAACTCAG